TCTGTTTTCAAGTCAGCCAAACAGAGAAAGTCAAAGGTTCAACTGACACGATGTGTGTCACACATTTTGCAGAACCAGAGTAGATAGCCTAAGTCCAGTGTACTTTGCCAACTTCGGTAGATGACTCAGCCCAAGCGTCCGCAAACAAAGTGCAAGTGCAGCAATCTTCAATGTCTCCATCTTGGGAACGGATATATCAAAGGGATTCAAAGGGTCTAGGTTCAAAATTGAAAAACGCTTTGAGGAGGCAGTGACTGCGGTGCGTGCCATCCGTCCCTACCCGCGTAGCCGCGTAGCGGGGTGAATACAACAAATGCTTACATAGAAGCTCCCTCCAAAATCCTTTACATCAGTATATAATTGCTATTGTCGGTTATCGCTTTTTTGGGGGCCATATCGCTTTCCAGTGTTTTGTGCCATTATCGCTTTTGGGGGCGACCCTATCGCTTTGCAGTGTTTCATACACATCTGTGACAAAAGTGCTTCTGTAATACTACAGTGGTCTTCAACCATTTTGACCGTATCATGTATATTTAATATGTATATAGCTGTGAGTCAAAATTGTGTATGGAACGTTCCGCGGTGTTCCGGACGTATGGAACGAAGGGGCTTCGTAACTGGTCTTGTTCCGGACCTTTGGAGTGTGATGAAATATAGGCTATACATATACAGTATATATATATATAACATAAACATAATCATAAGCAACATTGAACATTAAGCAAGCATGAACACACTCCAAAATACTCTCAGGACATTGCAAGTTTCTCATGTTTCTCACAGCATTTCACATATTTCATGCAGTTCATGGCTATCTATGATGCTGACAGGACATGAAAAGGGATCGGGCAGCCTGAAGCTGGACGCTGAAGCTGGGATGGTGTTGCATCGTCGGCATCGTCGCCATTTTGCGATGTTTGAACTCCAACGAATTAACAACCAGAAGACTTGAGACATCTTGAGACACTAAGGGGTCTTCTTCAAGAGGTTTTTCTTTGCACCAATCCTGTTCTTCATGCAGGCATCACCAAGCAGCACTACATATTTGAGATGAAGTTCTGGAACAGGAACACCTTCCGCGACTCGACGCTGGAAAATGCTGGAAAGCGGGAAGAGGATGAGACCAACATGAACCAATAAGAAAATAAAACAGCATAAATTCCGCATGCAATTCAACACCAACGGAGTTGGAGTAGAAATCTATAGAAATCTCAAGGCATGTTTGCTCTTTAAGCTACTAGCCGAAAAACTGCAGATCTCCGGAATTCTCAAAAGGAATTCTTAAAAGCGCAATGCAACTCCGCGGGTTGAGAAGCGCAGACTGCCAAGAACAACTGATAGCAGGTCTGAAAAAAAACATGATGTCACATGATGTCACATGGCAAACGTTGCAGTGACCGATCCCGACCAGGACTTAAAATTCGAACTACTATGACTCAAGGCACAACAGCAGAGCTGAGATGATTTTCCAAAAATGGCACAGAATGACGACTTTGTACATTCATGTACCGTTGGTGAGCCGGTGTCTACAAATCATCAGTTTGTTGCACCAGTCTCTCAAAGCTTTTCTCGACACCTGGAAATCCAACACCATGCATGACTGACAGATTGTAACTGGCAACTCTTCTCCACTGACAAGGAGCTCGCATGGCATTGCCTTGCAAGCACCAGTAGTACCCCAAACCTCTTGTCCAAAGGGCACAACCTTGTGCTTCCTGTTGAGCAACTAAATGATACCATATCGTTCCAATCAGTATGGCTACAAGAACACGTTTTCCACATTTTTCCACAGCATTCCCAACAGTGTGCTTCCCAGAGACAGGAGTCAATTGGACCAATGGGAGAGAACCAAATCCTTCAGCAACAAGGACTTCCTACGGATTATTGGATGCGAGACAAAGAACCAGGCATTCTTGCGTAGCCATTCTTCTGAAGCTGCCACAGGCTGTCATAGGATCCAACCTTTGAGCAGTTCGTGGCCATGTTTTCACCACAAAGAGTAGGGCTGCACACTGCTCTGAGTCTTCCATCCATCTCCAAAAAAACATGTCTATTTTCTCACCTTTTCCACCTTTTCCATTCCTTTCCAACACCAAATGCTTTTAGAATCTTTTAGATGTCTTGAATTGTCTTGAGATGTTCAGCCCAGACACGGAGGCATAGTGTGGAGCCGAGGATGAAAAGAAGGGCTCAAACTCGTCCCGAGTTCCTCACGAGTTCCTAGCGTAGTGAGTTCACCACACAGAGCGGAGAGGGTGGACACCACGACCTGTCTGGACACCACGACCTTTGCCTCAGACAGAAACAATTCCACACCACAGAATGCGTTATCATGTCTCAAAGAAACAGCAGTGGGGGTTCACAAAGCACAAGCCCCCACGTATGGTTCGGGACCCCCAAAAGGATTATTAATTTATTAATGACAGGTTATAAGATGCTACAAATGGTTACAGTATAAGATGTTATAAGCAATGCGACAAACCGTTGCATTGAAATGGTCCTATGCCAATTTGCACCATCCTTTGCTTTCACCAGCCATGGTTCTTGCAAGGTTGGACACTTGCCAACCAATGCCAAACGAACCACACAAGGGCGCCATGTGACATCAAGTGTGGACCAGTGTGTGAAAATATTCGCAAATAAACTATAGTTCATAGTTCATAGTAGTCAACGACTCATATGAGCAGACGCAAAGATTGGAGGCTCCATGGGTAAGATCGGGTTCCGTAACCACTGCATCATGCCAACCTCATTCTTTTAACTGCTACTGGAACAAGAGATTCAGGAGAAAAGGAAGTGCTGAACCCGTCAAGCTGCAAAGCTGTCGCACCAGCTGCGACTTTTGGTTCTATCCCTCAGAACAACGTCGCGGATAAACAGAAAACGGCGCTGTCTCGTCCTCAGTCCACTTGGTGAGATCCCAAGTAAACGCGGATTTAATGCGAACATTCAAGCTCTCAAACAGTCCTAAACATGTAGAGAGAGTGAGGCAACCATCCACTGCCGGAGTCTCAAACGCATGGAAGCACAGTCAAACAAATTGCAAAAACTTGAAATGCTCATGCTTTTGATCGCAATTGCTTCCAGATCTTCCAGAGACAAATTGAATAGACTGAGCGCCTGCTTTCGACATCCAGTCCAAACAGTGGTAGATGACCAACATGCAAACTTGCAACAGTCAAAATGTATCAACATGTCATAGCTTCTGCTGAAGCAAAGGAAGCATAAAGACTCTCGCGCCCCGGCCAGACCAATTGTCAACAATATCATGTTACTGTATACATGTGTATACTATTGTATACTAATATACATTCGACACCCACAAATTATTGAAGCCATCCTATGGGGCTGGAATCCTTTGACCATCTTGTACGCTGTTGAGGAACAGTCTTGACAGAAGCTGCCATGCAGCGATTTCGCGATGCCATTGCCACATATTGCCACCATCAGATGATCATCACCACCATTCACCACCAATGTTGCCATCACCACCAATGCAGGAATTGAAGAGGTACAGTCGAGTGCATTGTCTTGGCATCGAGGGGGATTTCCGCTCCTCAGCCGTGCACCGCTGAACTCTGCTGACAGCTGAAAGCAACAGCTGAAAGATGCTGAAAGCAACCGTAAAGCAACCATAAAAAATCCATCAAAAATTTATCCATAAAAGAACTTCGTGATGCTTCGTGGTTTCAGCTTGTCTCGGCACCAACGGAATACCCACGGCCTACAAACGGGATAAACCAATCCCTTCAAGGCCCTTCAATGGAACATGCTTTCCCTGATGCAATTAAGACTCAATGTTTTCGCATATCTACAAACCACAGTGTCCTGTTGCCTTCAGATTTGGTCAGTCCTATCCGATAGTCCTATCCAACAATTTATTATTTGATATTAATATACTTTGTATATCTTTGTATCACGCTTTCAAGATGTTGCAACTTCAAAAATTAGCACTGGGCAATGATTTGTGTTTCCTAAAGCTGAACTTGGAAACACACATGAGCGAGCTTAGTTGATTGGAGCGAGGATTTTTACTGCGAAGCAGCGCAATCCGATTCACAAGCTGTGGTTCCCGACAGAATTCTTCCAGCGGCCCAGCCATGAAGGAGCCCTGTGTAGGCTCGGATTCAGCAACAGAAGAGGGAACTCACGCGGAAATGATTCCACACATTCTTAAGCAAGCAAACCAAGTGAAGATAGTGAAGAGCCTTGGAAGGATTTCAAGTTCTGAAGGCTTTCCCTGAAAACTGTCAAATTAAAACAAGTTGGCCATCTGGCTGAGGAGAAAGTATGGTCGAAAAAACACAGCCTGTGAGGTCTTGCGCTCGGTCAAGGTCAAGGGCTCTAACCTCTTGCAAACGTCAAACGAAGTCACGGAATGTCACGGATGCATTGCTGTTTTGTTGCGAATGAGGCGAGCAAATCTGCAACATTTGGACGGGGATTTGAGCTTTCTCATGCTCGGCACAATGAAGACTGAATGCAAAAGAATATACTGAATGCAAAACAGTCAAAACATGTCGAAACAGTTCAAAACTGATTGGAAGGGCCAAGTTTTTCTCCCAAGGCCTTCCACTGGCTTGTGCTCCAGCCGCCGACCGGTCAAGATCCTCATGTGTCTAGAGAAATGTTGCAAACCAAGCGCAAACAAACATGAACAAACAGAAGAGCAAAGAAAAACACAGCAACAGAAGAGTGACAGCGACGTGACAGTCCTCTTTGATCGGGGCCTTGCCAAACAAAAAACTGCTGATCTCTTCTGATCTCTGATCAGCATGGCACGGCATGGCACGGCATGGCAAAAGTGTGATGCGCGCCTGGCGCCTTTTAAGCAGCAGCTTGGCCTCCGCAGAGTGCAACATCCGGCACTGTCGGGCATCGTCGTGGGCAACTTTCAAACCGGCCAAGAAATAGGACAACATAGGACAACCATGGATAACCTGGGCTGTGTTTCGGAAAGAATTTTGTCAGTTTTCATTTCCTCAAAGCCTCTGCTCACTCTAGCTCTGTGGCAACACATCTCTTGCCTGCTCCACCAGCTGCTCAAGAGGGTTGCTCCTAAAAGCTGGACTGAAGCTGACTTAAGTGAGCACAGTTTGGCCAGGTCCATGGGCAGTCTTTTTGCATTTAGGAGCGCATATATGCAACTTGCAGAAGTTGATCGATTTTGATCCGCATGATGTCTGTCAGTCACTTGGGGTCAGTGTGTTTCAACATCTTGACATCTGACTTCAAAGACAGAAACTGGAACAACAGACGGATTTTCAATCCCAAAACCTATCAGTACTCTCAAGCAGTAAGGACTTGGAAGCTCACAGACTAGGGTTCTGACGGCTGCGTTGTCCTGCCCAGGTATTTATAGATGAGAGGACACAAAAACAAACACACACACATGCTTTCTAGCACTTGCGAAAGTTGGCAACATTCAGCACAAAATGAACCGGGGCATGTCTTGACTCGCAGGCCACACACAGCAAAAGAAACTTCAAGTAAATTCACCGTTCCTATCCATGAAACTTCCGTGGAAAACCGGTGAACTATGGTGAACTCCACTGGCATATTGCATGAAGAGCCTTGAACAATATAAAAGAATCTCGAAGAGCAAACGAACATATATGAAGACTCTTGAAATCTCTTGGTTTTTCTCTTCAAGATTCTTGAAGATTCTTGAAGAAGATTGAAGAATCAAAGATAATCAAAGATTTTTTGCTTGTTTTTGGATGTTTTTGGCGTTCGACCTCGAAGCTGCTGCCCTGATGGCTAGAGCCAGATGCGCCGCACGTGCTCGAAGCTCCTTCCTTGAGCCGAAGCCCAGGCCGATGTTGTGGCCAGACACGGCAACGGTCACGTGAGCCTCGCAGTGATTCGCAGTGCATGGTTCTACCATGTTCTACCAGTCCACCATATTCCATCTTCATTTCATCTTCATTTCATCCATCTATATCAAATTAGTTACAGAATGTCTCACAAACAACTCATTGAAGTGATTTGATCTCACTGGCAGCCAACTCATGAGCTTGACTTATGACTCTGGAGAGTAAGCACGCAAAGTAGGGCAATCATGTGGCAGCACCTGCCTGTACCTGTGACTACGCAAAAAATAAACAATCGCCAGCTTGCCACCAAGACCAAGATCCAAGAATGGGATGAATGGGCAATGTTACAATAACAGTACATATAAATTAAATCATGTTAATTAGTGGCTTCAAAAAACCTCCTGGAGGCATATCCAAGAATTTAAGGCTACATGAGACTTCATGACACATCATGACACTAGTGCCAAGGTACGGTGAAGGGCCTAGGCCACTGCATGATCGGCAACCTTAGGCGACAGCCAACTTTCATGAACCTTGCACGAACCTTGCACATGACGCGTCTGTCAGATCTAAAGAAACAGTGTGCTCCAGGAGCTTTGGCACATTTCGGCACGCTTTCTCGCTGTCCCTTGATTTGGAAACTTCGTGATGCTCTTACAGCCCGAATGATCATATTCAAATGACGATCATATCAATTTCAAGTAGGTATGATCAAATCAGTTCAAATCACCCAAGCTTTGCGAACCCTCAGTTTGTTAGATTCAGCCATAGAACTGTGGAATCGCTTCGCTGCCTCATCTGCTTCGAAGCATTCGCATGGGCCAAACTCCTACAGCAAAGGACAAATGTCCGACATTATTGACATTGCACAATTTGCACGCCCCATGCACGAACAAAAAGTGCGAAAAACACCACATTGCCACTCTATGCCACTCTTAAATTGGAGAAATTGATGAGAAATAAATTGATATGCTCTTTGTCTTCAGCATTTTCATGCATTTTCTGCACAAACCTGCCTGCGCCAAAGCTTTGGCGGAGCGCAGCAGGTCCTCGCTGCCTGTGCCAATAGACTTTCGACACCATCCGGTCGGAATGAATGGAAATGCAGAGAAATGCACAATATGATACGCCTGGTCACCCCAACATGCCAATGATAGACAGATATAGCCAGTGTATACTGTAGACGATGGAAAAGGATGGAAAAGGATGGAAAAGGATGGAAAAGGATCATGAACTAAACGACAAATTGCCAGACCTGCCTGTGGCCAGGACTGCTAACGCCATGTTCTCACATCCAAGTTCCTGCAAAAGGCCATCAGCAACGACGTCTGAAAGTGCTGATTCGATTCGAAACGGTCGCGCCTTGTCTGCAAGCCAGAATGCCTCCATGGTGAAGCCCAGCCCATGGCACTGACTGGCCGGCTCCGCGCACATTGTGCTGGAAGGAAACCACAGTCACTATACCTCTGGACTTTTAGGCGGCATTATATATCATGCAATAGCACAGGGAAGTAAGAACTTTTAAGCAACTCAAAATTGATCTAAATTCTCAAATGTGTTGCATCTGTAATTCACTGATATTCACTGTAATTCTATCATTCAAAGGCTTGATATGCTTGGACAGCTAGAGATTGTGTGTATCGGGGCTTTTGGCATGCCAAAGATCAAAGATGCAGAGTGTACGAGGGCTGAAAACCACAACGACCTGTTTTAAGTTTAAGATAGTTTAAGTATATATCGTATTTGGACACATGTTCAATATTCCCCAGTAATTCCTTGAGCAGCGCGACGACAAGGGATTGAATTGACAAAGTTCAACCAGCCGCATCAAACACGGTGATTCAGGTCTGAAATGCCCATTCTCTTCGATTTCTTCTGCTGACCCTTTAAATTGTCGAACTGTCCAAAAAGTCTGCCAATTCCGGGTGGAAGTGTGAAGGTTCAGCAACATAGTAGCAACATAAATGAAAAGGTCCAATGTAAATTTGGACTAATTCAAAATTTACAAGAGGGTTCTTGTTTATCAGAGAAAGTTAAAAGTTGGTCGAACATGACCTGGGCAACCCTTGGCATCCAACGTGTCCTTGTTCGTTCTTCCGCACTACAGGCTAAAGGGTATTCACCACGGTCCATGGAGCTGACTATCAACATACGTCCAGTGATTGGAGACCAGAATTTGTGAACTGCAAGACCTATAGGATCCTAAAACCGACATCCAGCCTTGTCCAACATTCCAAGAGCACAAGCACACAATTTGTGAGATGTGAAAGCCACAAAATGAGATTGCAGAACCAACCATAGAAAATCATGGAAATACTGTGGACGGCATGAAGGTCTTGTCGTAAAATGCAGTGAGTAGAACAAGTCAAAGGTACAGGCAGTGATCGGATGCAACCGGATAAACAGGCTTAGTGGCACAGTCTGGTACAGTGTCTTTTCTCTCTGCTTGTTTGCAGTCAGCTTAAGCCAATGTTGGCCCCGCCAAGCATCACGGATTCCACTCACCCCACGCCTTTCCGTGCAAACCATCCTGCACTGCACACTTGGAAACATGTCCAAACAGCCCTGCTGCAAGTGGAACTCTTGAATTGAAGGTGTTGCTAAACCATGCCAAACCATGCAAACCCCTGTTCTCTCCCAAGTGTTGTAAATCATTCCCCTGGTTTTGAGGTGGAAATCCATCCATGACAGTATAGGTGTAGGCTCCAAGGAAACTCCAGACGTTTCGCACGTGTGCAAGAGCGCGAGAAACAGAAATTGTCAGTGGGAAAGGAATGGACTTGCTTGGGCTGTTGAAGTCAAAAGCACGTGTGGAAGTGAGGGATTATATTGTCGGTCAGAACATGTTGTGCGAAAATTAAGGGACCTTCGTGACTCAAGCAAACTGAGTTCGTGGCTAAGAGAACCATGATAGAGTTCGCGGCTAGGCAACGCCCAGGTCAGAACCAGTTTGGCACTTGACAGATTTGTAGTTTCTGCAGGCTAGACGCTGCTTAGAAGTTGGTCAAAACAGCGTTGCCACTCATAGTATTGGTGCTTAGCGAGAAGCCAACCTTGAAGTTGAACTAGGATGAACTAGGAATGATGCGCAAAATGTAGGGCGCTCAACAAACAAGCATCAAGCTGGGAATGTCTGGAGTCTGCCACTTATTTTTGAGATTAGGGTTGCTGCTACCTCCTCAATCTCCTGCAAAGTCACTGGATAGATTCTGTTTTGGTGGAATCTTTGGCATGAAACAAGACGCTTCATAGTTTTTGCGAGCTTGTTATGAAGGATTTGGATGTAATTATTGTAAATCATTGTAATATGATGTAATATACATACCTGGGCCATCCGAAATTCACTTTTTTTTTTGATCTTTTTGGTCAGTGACCATCTTTCGCTCAAGACAACATTTTTTTGGGCAAAACGACCCAAAAGGGCAAACCGACCCAACATGTTTTTTTTTTACGGAATGGGGTCTCGGTGCCAGATACTTGCCATGATGTAATGGCCGAACTAGATGCAAAACTTTTGGCAGACGGGATCATGTGAGGCAAACTCAGTAAACCCATGCTCCCTAAAGCTATCAACAGGTATCAATGAGATTCAATGAACCATTTTGCAAACTAGATGTCGACGCGTCGAGGCAGAAATGGTTGGGTTATAAATGGATATAGCCTAGCATGAATGCATGTTATAACATGCATTTTTGGGGAACAAACTGTATCGCAAAAAAGGCGCAAAACCCTATCAAAGAGGTGCAAAAACCGTGAAAAAGGCGCAAATCGGGATTTCTGCCTTGACGTGTTTTTGTGACACAGTGCTGTTGTGCCACTTTCGGCTCAATAATGGTCAGAAACCAGTTGTCGATTCCTTGAAGTTTTGTTGGAAGCCAACCATTTGAATTGCAGGCACATCCCAAGAGAGATTTGTTTGATTAACATGCGGCAATTGAAAAAGTTCCAGTGATTGGATTTGCAGCTGCGTTTTTTAAGAAACACGAGGCAGAAATTTCCGAAACGAGGCAGAACAAATGCAAATGCGGCAGAAAAACCTTTTCTTATGAAAACGGCCCAAAAGGCAAAAGGTACAGTTTTTTTTGTGCTTTTTTGGGGTTCAGGTATACTCTGAACTCCTCTGAACATATTAACTCTACAAACTTGCCAGTTCTGGATGGAAAAAGTATACCACTCTCAAAACAATGAGATAAAATTCGACCTGATGATCTAATATATCTAATATTATCTAATATTATCTAATATGATGATCAAATCTAGGATCTTGAAATATCTTGAAGCTGGTTTGCGAAGCTAGTCTCGCAACTTGGCGTTTGATGACCTCCGTGAGCCCGGGACGAACCTGTGACACACCGATGATTTTCCCATTGTCAACCCGTGATTCCCAGGGAAAACGCTGTAAGAACTTTTTCCCAACCGATTGCAACCCCAATCAGATCAATCAGATCAATCAGGTTCCAGTTTAGGGTTTTTTCGATCCCCCGTTTAGCTGGAAAACACATTAGAATCATTAGACAATGGTTCTGTTAATGTTCTCTCCGAATGTGGAACGAGGATGTTGAGTCTACAAAGTGACAGCTATCAGAAAAAGAAACTAGTCCCTACCGGCAACTTTTTTAACCTTGTGGGCTGTCAACTTTTGTATGAGTAGGTCCATTGTTTTTCATTGTGTCCATTTCAAGTCAAGCAATCTATTTTGTACATTACATGGCTTTGTCCTTTCGACAGAGACTTGGCCAGCTAAAGTAGTCATTCTGTTGTACTCGTAGCACTAAAGAGACTAGAAACACCTAGGAACTAAGGAAATTGAGTGGCCTGAGAAGGTGACTTTGTCAGAAAATTGGTGAGGTTCTGTCTATAGGTCTGGTATGTTCTGGTGAGGTATATGCATAATGCAGGCATTGTTCAAACCAAGGAGATTCAGGGAAGGACTGGGACGGTTCCAGAAGTTCCAGATGGTTCCGGGAAGTTCTAACAGGGGAGCGTTCCAAATGTTCCAATCCAATGCTTCTGGAAGGTCAGCGTTAGCGGAAGCCCGGGAGGTTAAAAAATGTTAAAATTTCGTTGTGAAGCTTCTGGACGGCTCCAGGAATTTCCGAGTTCGTGTGTCACACGGAGCTGTCGGATTCAGGATCTCGGATAATCTAAAATCTAAAACCATCTTGTTTTCGTCTTTGAGGGTGTTTTGCATTACGTATTGTTACTTGTTACATACTGCAGCTGCTCCCCGGGGTTGGCAAGCAACCTGGATTTGGTCAAACTTCTTCCAAGCCCGGAGTCTTTGAGGGATGCTTATCAAAAACCTTGCTCATTTTCCACGGAGGTTTTGGGTCTACTATACAAAGGTACCAGTAGAGAGAGTTTCTCTCAGAAAGTGCTCAAGGACAGCGCATAGCCGGATAGCGTGACAATGGCAGGGAAGCAAAGTTTAACAGCCACCAGTACGCTGCAAGACATCAGCAGATATCAGTACGTACGAATCCATCTTCCAGTATCGTGTAAACAGTGCGCCGTGCCACATGACAGCTGTCCTGGATCCACATCCAGAAAATTGCTATCATGGCAAGTCGGCCATTTGCAAGTTCCGCATTCAAGGATCTCCTGAGCGGACGAACAACATCGAACAAACAGGGACCTACTTTCTGATGCGACAATTTTCATGAGTGCGAGATCGGTGAACTCAGAGTCACCACGGAGTCAGCTTCGCGGCCCGCAACAATTTGCATGAAATGTAAATGCCGCAATTGCATCAAAGGGATTCAGAAGGCATAGATGAACAAGAAAGATCAAGAAAGCGAATCTCCCAAATCTGAGGTTTCCAGCTTTCTCTTTTCAGGATCAACAATCTGCCTCGATGACTCGATGCGAACAGGCTCCGAATCTCCCTTCTTTACAAGGGCCAAAGATGGCCAAAGCCGATGGCTCTCCTCAAACTTGCGCCGTTAAGAAACTAAGGCAGCCACGTGCCAGGGAGCAGGCCCAATCTGCCCTGAGCGAGAAAGACAATTTGAAACCAACACCAGAGCCACACGTAAACATCGCAAACATACGACTACAAAGACAAACATACAAATTAAACCAAATTAACCCAACATACATACCAGTCAAATGCATGATTGATACGAGTACGAACCTAAAGTACGAACCTAAAATGACTCCTCTCCTTCACCCATTTCACCCTGCACGACACCGATACTTTGTCCATCATGCAAAATCCTTGCTACACACCTGGAAGATCCTGGAAGCAACTCAGTGGCATCAAGATGCATCAAATCTCATGAGCACGTGCAAATACGTGAAAGGAACTGCAAACTGATGGTTGTGATATGTTGTGATTGTTTGTTCATGTTTATGCAAGGGATTGCAGAATCAGTCTACAAGTTGTGTCCAGCCTTGTAGTAGTTGCCAGGCTCACTTGGGTGCTTTGGTCTGAGCAGTATGCGCAATGTGTGTGGCCAAAAACCAAGTTCATGAATCATGGCAGCTCGCAAGAGTTTGTACCCCAACACATCGAGCATTGTCATGCGACACCACTAGGTAGTATCCAAACATATCCAACACATTCAAGTAAATCAGGCAGTATATTTCAACACATTTCAACCACCTTGATTGGAAGCATTCTCATACTCAAGCACAGGAATGAGAAAGGTCAGAACTGGTTGATGAGGATCTCGTACATGCCACACCAGGCCTCATCTTTGTGTCAGCAACAGGCAAAATCGGCAAAATCAAATTCCTGTGCTCTTCTCCCCGTATCTCCCCTTCCTACCGATCTGACAAAGCTCGCAATGCCATTGAGCCATGGTGAGTAATGTGATCAGATTGCTGGCGTCTGACAGGCTTTGCTGTTATCCTTTTTCGAAACTGTTCAAACTCTTTTTGTATTACTACTGCAGCTTCACCCTGATTTCGTGGTGACACTACAGCATCAATTGATACAAGTGAGACATTCAGTGATATTCAGTACTTGGAGCCACTGCAAGCATGGTCTTCGGGAAGATCAGCGCTTGAAACCAGTATTCCAAAGCGTAGAATGGCCATACCAGCCCTTCCACCTCTCTTCATCTTCACTCCTTAAGACGCTTGACATCGAAGACTAGGCAAGCCGGAATATGCCGGAACCACATTACGTCACGTTGCGACACTGCAGCACTGCAGATTACTTCAGGTATGCTGGGCCCCTCAAGCGCAGAGCTTTTGGCGCGAAGGAAAGCTTCCCGAACTGAAGCTTGCACCGTTCACCACTTACTTGAATAAATATGAATAAAATATGAATAAATGATTGAAACATATGCGTCTCCCTGCTTTTCAGCGTTTTGTCACTTTAGGTGCAACATTAGACTTGATTCCAAGGAACACACACACACACAAACAAACAAAACTACCACAACCAATGCAACAACACTAGCCCACAATGTCTACGAGTCCATCACGCAAGACTCCTATGCACGACAGCCATTTGCTTGTAAATGTGCAAACATAGACTTAGTTCATCAACGCCTACATCAAACATGCCAAAAATCAATCATGATCTATCAATTGTTGACGTCTGAAACATGCAAACTTCATCAAACTTTTAAATCTTGGCAGACCATGACACCCGGTAACACCAAAGCAGCAGTGCCAATGCATTCGAAGTGCTGCTTCCGCTCCACATTTGCCATGCCCTGCTCCAACTCCATCTTCCGCTGTCTCAATTTGGCTGCTCTTGCCTATAAGAATTCATGGCACATGTCTTGATGGAAACTTGAATGTGGAAGACATTAAAACATATTGTGAACTTTTTCTTATATTGATTTTTGTCACTTAGAAATAATCTAAATCAAATAGCCTTTGCCTATCATGTAGCTGCATGAGTAATCATGGACAGTAGAAAGCCTATGGGCACGCCCTCACTGGACATCTTGTTGAACTCCATCACAATATGATTTAAGCGTGTATGTAAGTATATCTACGGTAACTACATTTAAATATACGGACTGGTATTTCATGCTACCTCCGGGGCCTCTCGGTCTGGCCCGCCCTCCACATATTTAAATGGCCTTACCGTATGTATATTGTATACCGTGTAACTATTCAATTCATACAGTATTATGTATATTGTACGCCCTGCAAATATTCAATTTAAGATTATATATTTCTCTGTGTTTTCTTTGAGTACTTGTGTAGTTTTGTGTATAGTATATGCATTGTTGTTTTTGTTTTTGATTTTTTTTGACATATGAACTAGAGATAACTACGAGAGTATGCAAACGTGTATCAATGGAAATGGCCATGCTATGCTGTGCCTCTCCATCTTTTGCATCGTCGCCTGTCCGAAGCTGCACGTTGTAGGCTTCAGCCTTTGTCCACTTTGAGAACTTGAAATTTCACATTGTTTCGCACCGTGCGCTGTGCTTAATCAAGGATTCTATGATTTTATGCTTTCCAACAAGTCCAACATCCAAATCTGCTCAGAAAAGGATGGTGCATATCAGAAAGCAGCTCTGAAACGTCTGAAAGTCAACTACCAAGCGACACCTTCGTAGTGCCAATTGAAATGACACACGCAAGAAGTCTCAGGTGTCATAGAGCCAAGAACAGTGCTAACTGTCGATGAGACGTCCTGCGCGTGCAAGTGAAAGTTCAAGGGAAGTTAAAGGGAGATGTTGGCGATTTCTCCATGACTGATGAAAAATTCTGAATGATTCTCATGGACTTTGCGCAGCAAAAGATTTGTCAAATCATGTCCAATCATGTCATTGTCCGTCCATGTCCGTCCACTCCAACAACGAAATCATAATAACATCATATAACATTAATAACATACTCGCTTGATCAATTGACACTAAATGATTCTTCACGACCGGTGTCCTCGACATCTCGGAAAATAAATTGATAGCGAAAATCATGAAACACATAGTGACCTTGACTCACAAGACAGCATGTTCAAGCATTGGTCTCAACTTCCAGAGACAGCGTAGTTTTTGAACATGTTTGAACTAATCTATAGCCTGGAGCATCGAAATTTGTGGAGCAAGGATGACTTTGATACACTTGGGAAGTGGGGCCTTTGGACGGGTGTAGCAGCCATTTCAACATTTATCTTTCCCCAATATCACAGCACCACACATCCCCAAAACAATGCACTCGTGCTGCCACTTTCTCTTTTAAAAGCTAGACCTTATGACAGTATTAGCTTTAAAATGCGACTGCTTCACTGTGAAACACTGAAACATGAACAAGGAAGGAGTTCCAGTTGCCAACCCTCGCCTTAGATGCGGAGCCTGGGTGAAGTGAGATGAATCTAAGTCACATCAAGTCACATCTGAGTCACCCCCAAACCCCAAATGTCACGTCTGTGCGCAGGGCACTGAAGTGACCCCAGTGGCACAGGATGCAAGGATGCAGTTTACTGCAGGAACTAGGAACGGCTGGGAATCCGGCGCACGCAGATCTTCGCCCGAAAAGGGCGCTTGAGGTACGACACTCGCCAGGCACGTCGTGGAAGGCGTTGTGGAAGAGGCCAGGGTTCGTTGGACCACTCCAAAGTCCGACGCAAATTGGAGATAGAGAACTGCAGCCTGACAGACGGGGGGACACATGACTGGTCTGAGGTAGGTATAATTAAAACATAATACAACATATCAAACAGCTATAGGCTATAAGCGACCGCACAATACTATTTAATACTATTTACACCATTTTACACCCATCATTTACCCATGCTTTCTGAGCAATCCCCAGAATGACAACGACTCGCATTTGCTTGGACCTGATTGGCTCACAACTTTCCCGCAACAACTCTTTGCACAGGTAGAGACAAGTACGGCTGGGACTTATCTCAGAATCTAATTGCATTGCAGAGGGCTCTCTCCGAAGCTTTGATGTGTAAACGAACCGCAGCGTAGCAAGACGATACTCGGAAAGAGCCATGAGGTCAATGTTCGATCGAGCATAAGAAACAAAACTGAAATGAATTACCACAAACGATGAAAACCATGGCATCAACTTGGTCTTTAAGCTTTGTAACCAAGACATTGTTCTTTCCTAGTGAAAGAAGTGTGTCTTGAAGCCACCCAGAATGATCAGTGCCACAACATGTCGCCGTCACAAACCCAATTACTGAGTCAAGTGGAAGCCCTGCAGCAAATGCAAACCTGACTGAAGGTGTAACCATTTAATGACTACTCATTCCGGACGTTGTTGTCTTTGAAAGGGTACACACAAAGGTTCCAAAAAGGATGCTGCTGCAGTCAGTACTCCACTACCAGTATCGAAACAAACACACTTCTAAAAAAAAACCGGTGACAGCTTGAGCCATCAGAATGGCATGTGCACTCAAATCTCGAGGAATTGTCTGCCATTGACGGAACATGTTCAAAGCATTTCAATTTTGTTTCCTGTGAACAGCCCCAAAATGGAGTGAGCGATTGGCAAATGGCCCATGTCAACTCTTGTTTTGTTGATTTTTGTTGTGTTTTGTTTGGCATCCCCAAACTTCCCAATTTATGTATATTATACACACGTATACATACGTAATTAACTATACACATTCTGCAAATTGTGCCCGCAGCATCCCAGCTGTGGCAGATTATTCACGGTCAGATTTTTAAGCTGAGAACAAGGATCTGAAGCCAGCCTTCCGGTGGCACCTTAAGCAAAAGTGCGCAGAGTTGAGTGGAGAATCTTTTGTCACACTCAGCTGGCCGAGCCATCCCAATCTTACAACTCACGTTACAAGAGCAACTTGAGTGCCCGTATACGACGGTATCTAGTTCAAGCTGATGCTACTGAGGATAAATGACATGGAGAAAGTCGTTAGATCATGTCACATAATGATGAAATTGAGAAGTTGGTCACAAAAACCACCCAAAGCCACCCACATAAGCAAACAAGCACACAACAAAACAAATCAGCAAAAGGAAAACAAACGCAAACAAGGAACAAGCAACAATACAAGTCGCAAAGTGACAAATTAACGAAGCAAAGCCAAAAGAGAGAGAGAGAGAGAGAGCAGGCAAGCGAGCAAAGGAGCAATGAATCGAACAAGCAAGCTGGCAAGCAAGCTGGCAAGCAAGCTGGCAAGCAAGCGAGCAAGCCAACAATAGACCAATGTTTTCTGAATTGATGAACAGTTTCTGAAATTCACGGTCTACTGTAATTTAGACTGCTCTGGGTGCAGCATATGATTAATGCAACTTGTGGCTTTGCTTCCAAACAATATCTGGAACCATCCTAGACCTGAATCAGGAGTTGGACGTGACAAGCAGAGAGTGGTGACCTTTCCTTCAAATTCCTGATAATCATCCTATTGAAAGAGAAGCAAAACCAACCCGCTCTGATTTTGCAGTGGAGGAACCTTCAGCAAGGCTTGGAGGCCATTTGGGACATCGGCAAAGGTAAGATCCTGCACGCCAAGCAATTGAAACAACTTCAGGCAAGAGTTTGCCAGGAGCCCTAATTATACAAAACACTGCAACTGGACAGGGTGCTCACGGACCCCAGCTCTGGCCAGTGGAAACCTTTCTTAGTCTGCCTTCGCTCTTTCTTGCTTTCTTTGGTTCGTTCTTTCTTGCTTTCTTTCTTTCGTTCTTTCTTTCGTTCTTTCTTGCTTTCTTTTTCGTTCGTTCTTTCTTTCTTTCATTATTTCTTTCTTTGTTCTCTCTCTCCCTCTCTCTCTCTGTCTCCTCTCTCTCTCTCTCTTCTCTTCCCTTGTCTTCTGTCTTCTCTTGCATATCTCTGTCTCTCTTCGTATCGAATCTAAGCGCATGCAGTTTGGAGCAACCACATCCTTAACCACAATAAGAATGTACAAGAACTCACCAACAACTCAAGTGCTAACCAGGCAAACAAAGAGCAATTGCAGTGTCCTCAGTGGGCGAGAGGTAGCCCGGCCATCGGAAGTACTCCGGAATAATATATCCTTTCCAAAGAATTTTAGGCTGAACTATCAACAAAAGTCAAGATACAAGTCATGGGATGTGTTCTAATGTCTTTATCCTCTCTCGACGCGACTTCCTGATCTCAAACTATATGTTGCGTAAGTCTTTCATGAGAGATTTCTGGGCCTATCGTTGCGTACATGGCAACTCTGCCGTTCTTGAGCTCAGCTTCCCTTCGACGATAGAACCTCAGCAGAACCAGCACACTGAACGTGAGTGCTTGATTTTGATGCTCTTTCTATTTTTTCTTGTCTTTTCGAAAATCTAGATAATCCATTAATCCAAGAAAACAAACTAAGCAAACTCAGCAAACCAGTTTTGTTCAAAGCTCCGGACTCGCCAAAGTCTCCGTCTTTGCTGAGGCCAAGAGGATCAAAGTACCCGAGCGGTGGCTGCACCTTGGCTGCAAGGCTTATACAAAGATTACCAGCCAGTGACCTACGATACCTATCCAAATAATTCCAAATATCCAAATATCCATAAAATCATATAAAATCAGTAACTACAGTGTACAGTTTCCTGAAAGCACCAGAAACAAATTGGCCAAACTGTTCAACTCAACTGACCGCATTTGGCTTTCTAATGCAAGTGAAACAACACAATGAGGACCAACATGGACCACCAGTGAAATCCAACACTCTGATTCTGGGGCAGGGAACACCCAACTCATCTTCGAAGGCTTTTTGCAGGCAGAGTCCTGTGATGCACACCATATCCCGCGCATACAACCGATTACGCAACACACATGTATAGTGATTTGTGTATTCACGGCTGATTCACAAGTATATTATGTATATATATATATAACATAATATGATGTGTATATATATATATACACGTATATATAAAGACTCACTCAGCTTCTGCCTTCTTTTGCTCTGCAAGATCAATTTTGTCAATAAATTGAAATTGAACTTAAAGAGAAATTAGGGAAAGAACCAACCCTTTAGAGCACTTCCCACAACCTTTCCAAATATACCCCCAGAGGGACTCGGCCAAGCCCGAGAAGAACCTCCGGCCAAAGTATATCAGGTTCTTTCTTCCCTTGTCCGGCCAAGCCCGAGACAAAAGAAGGTCTAACCTGTTACGCGCAACACCGTTGCCGTCTCTTTTTCTGTGCTCTTTCAGGGTGGGAGCAAAATAGGGGGGGCCCTTAAGCCGAAACTGCAGTGATTCAGGCATACACCACGTTCGTCTTTAGAAACGGGGGCGTATCACCAAAGACTCACTCAGCTTCTGCCTTCTTTTGCTCTGCAAGATCAATTTTGTCAATAAATTGAAATTGAACTTAAAGAGAAATTAGGGAAAGAACCAACCCTTTAGAGCACTTCCCACAACCTTTCCAAATATACCCCCAGAGGGACTCGGCCAAGCCCGAGAAGAACCTCCGGCCAAAGTATATCAGGTTCTTTCTTCCCTTGTCCGGCCAAGCCCGAGACAAAAGAAGGTCTAACCTGTTACGCGCAACACCGTTGCCGTCTCTTTTTCTGTGCTCTTTCCGACGTCCCCTGACCTGTGAACAACGTGAAACGGGCTCAAGTGGAGGCAAACTAGTGGAGAGGCTAAGCAAATATTGCCTTCGAAGAGTTAAAGCAAAAGGTGTCTTGGGAATTTTCAACTCAGCCAAGACCGCCATACCAGAGTTCACATAGATGCGGGCAGTCTTTTGAGATTGCCACCTCCCTGCAATAAGCAACTTGTCAAATGATCCATGTTGCCCAAATGCATTGGTAGCTCCTCCTCTCCGGAGCGAATAGGGCCTAAAATCCCATTTGTCAAAAGACAACGCTTTGAGAGTGTCAGCAAACTTCTTACGCCAAATGTGGGAAGGACCTGCTATTAAGGTCTTGTCAGGCCTGGTAGCACACCACTGGTGCAACCGTCTGCAGACATCTTCTATATGTATCGTGATGCTCTCTGCAGCTCCCTGCCGCTTACCTGCCTTGGTAAGACCCAAAGAAACAACTGCCGGCCCACGAGGGTTTTTAACCGTCACGTGTGCCCCTGTCAAAGACAGAAGTTCTCCCGTACGCAGGAGCCCATAATATCCCAACAATAGGGTGAGGGCAAAGGCATGGTCGCCTTTAAAAAGGGCATAGCCTACCATAGCCTCCAACATATCGACAGGCATCGGTGGGGCTCGGTTAGTAACTTCATGAGTCACACAAGCCTTTAAAAGTCGCCAGCTCTCAGGCAGTTTGCCCTTGAGGTGGGGCTGAGCATCTTGGAGCCCAGCCAAGGTGTTAGAAGCTACTGTACGTCCAAATCCCGCGGCCCAAAGGTGTTCTAAATAATCACCCACCATGCGGTCTAACAGAAGCGTGGAATGAGGTAACACGAGCTTTTCATTTTTCAAAAATTCAAAGAAATCGTTCAGAGCCTGCTGGTACCGAGTTTTCGTGATGGGCTGAACCGTAAGCTGTCTAAGAGGTCCTAATGTTCTCCGCTGTTTTGCCCTTGCTTCTTGCGTGGCCTGTTCAAGAACCCTTTTGGGCATGGCCCCATTTTCGTTTCCTGGGACGCCTACTCGGGGCGTCCGCAGGATTGTCCTTTGTGTGAACATAGGTCCACACAGGATGGCAATGTGAAGCAAGAAGCAAGGCATTTATACGCAGCAACGACCTCTTCAACTTTCGGCTACTGGACCTTCCTCGGCTTAAAGAATGCAGGCAGACTAGAGAGTCAAGCATGTGCACAAATTTGGACTTTGTGATTTTTTGTTTTTCAATCCTCCATCGAAGTGATGTCAGGACTGCTCTCATTTCCAACACATTAATGTGCTCTGAACCATCTTTCCATTTCCATCCTGTGATCGTTTTCCAACGCCACAGGTTGGCTGGGACACTAGCCCGCAGCCGGTGATACTTCACTTGGTCCTCGCTCGAGGCTTGAAGCAGGAGATCCTCTCCCTTCATACTGACCAACGTCAGCAGCTTAGATACAACCTTGAGCTCATTCGAGTGGCCTACCAACTTGCGTCCGGGTCGCATAAGCGGACGCTGCAAGAAAGTTTGAAAATCTTTGCAGCACCCAGGTGAAGTCCTATCCACCACCTGCTGTACACTGAGAGGGGGGTTCAATCCCAAAAGTGAACCCAATTGGCTCAAAATCCAGCTCACCACCGTGACATTCCAAGAGTTCCCAATAAGGGAAAGCCTGCAGTCAGTGTGTGCAGTACTCCCCTGGAATTGTTTACCCATGCACATAACCGTGTAATTTCGGGGAAAGCCCATGATCACTTCTCGTTCTTCAGCGCTAGGAAGTCGGAGAGCACCTTGGCGATTGACTAAGCAATGACAAGCCCTGTACTGGTACGGGGGGAACCGGAACTTATCCTGCACCCATCTGTCCTTGTCATCGACTGTACACTGCTGCAGGCCCGCGGGCTTGTACCCTGGTACCTCTCTTGGACGGGATGTGGTAAAGGTCGGAAGAGGTTCAGCTGAGTTTTTCTGCCAACCGGGTAGCAGAAAGTGTTCTTGCTTCACACTGGCTTCCAGCAGGACCATCCGATCACCTTGGTTGTTGCTCTCCATGGTGGAGCCATCGCCCCCGATAAGCTCCCAATCCACCCAATACAGCCTTGGCCTACGCGCAAGCGAGACTCCTTTTGAGTCAATAAGCCATGGAATGTCACCAAAGTCTTCAGACATAATGCGCTGATCACCTTTATCCATAGACCCCACTGATTCCATCACAGTGCGGACCTGGGCCCAAGGAAATGACTGTCTGACCAACGACCGAACTCGGGAGACATGAACAAACAGATTGCTCCTGGCATCTCGTAAGGCCCCTTTCCTGGCTGCATTTAAGCCACTGACTCCCTGGCAGGGAGGGCCCGCACCAATCAGCACCAACGCCGCTTGACTGAACTTCAAAGCCCAAGAGCTAACCATCTCCTCACTAATTTCAGTGACATCGTGCACTCTAATAGTGTTAGGGAACCGGGATTCCACCACCCGGGCAGCAGCATCATCCTTCTCTACCGTGATGTGGCCTATGATATTCCAACCAAGGGCATCTACTGCTGCTCGAAGGGCTCCAATACCATCAAACAAACCAATAGTGACCACTTGCATCACCTCGGCTGGTTCAACCAAGTCACCCCTCACAGGACACTGGGCTGCCACACAGCCTGCAGGAGTCACACGAGTGCTAGCTGTCACTCCCCCTCCACTTTTTGATGCGTCACTAGCTGTGACCAAAGGTGAAACTTTACTTCTAAAATCCATAAAAGCCAGAGGAATCAACCCTAAAAATCTTGCCAACTCCATCTTCACTTCCTTAGGAATAGGAAGACGGACAATCGGCGGGTAGTGTTCGAAGGAGAGGATAAACCTCCAAATTGAATTCAAACTTCCAAGCAGCGGTCTTCTAAACATTGCAAGATAGACCAGTCCGCCCCCCACCACCTGCATTTGTTTCTGACTGCAGGCATCACTATCCAACAATTGTTGCGCAAGGAGGGCATATCGCAGGGCTTTCTCGGGCTTTGGGAAAGCAATCCCTTCCTCACCTTCGATAATCGCCCCTTGAACTTCGGCACGTCGGTGTGCAGACACCGACTTCTTCGGGTGCCTAGGGATTCCCAGCAAGGAGTATTCTTCGCGCAAACTAGACACCAGCGGGGAGACGGAGCCTGCTATTGCTTGAGCAACTCCCTTTGAAACCTTCATGAGCTCGTCAAAATTGTCGAGGTAAATTCTGAACAGCGGGTTGCCTGACGAAAACGTCTTGTCCTTACGAGCTTCCAGCTCACTCCCTAATCCGGAGCGGACCAGCGCTCGTCTGGCAATGAACCTATGGATGTGCTGCGCAAGTGAAACACTGTTTTTGAAACCCATAGGTAATACAGCTGAACAGGGAAACCACCGGCCAGGACGATCACCGCCCAATGCGGGGGGAAGAGGACGGTTGAAGGCCATCAATTGATGCCACTCAACAGGGAGCTTAAAAATATAAAAGAAGCACCGTACATCTTCACTTGAAATAACCAGATCCTCATGGGGCATTAGACACAGAGGCGACATGCTAGACCATGTTGGTAACGTAGCAATGTCTCCATCAAGCCCTCTACACAGACGATTTGCTGGGATAAGGTTCATGATGATCCTCATAACTTCAAAATCTCCCGCAAACTCGTGCTTGGAAACCCCAAACAGTCCATTAAGGACAGGCTTGCCCTGTACTCTGTAAATGTCATCCTCATGGATCTTGGCAAACACTCCCTTTTGCAGGAGCTTCCCACACAGATTCTCCCAATGCTCGGGAGCCACCATGACCTTTGGGGGTTTCGTATAAACTTGATCCTCTGGGTCGAGCAGGTATTTTGAAAAATTCTTCACATACTCCAGGGATCCTAGTTCAACTACTTGCTCCAAGGGGACACCCCCGACTTCGTCAGGCAAGGCAGGAGCCACATTTTCCCAGCGAATACTTTGTGCACTTAGGATCTCATCTCCTTTGTAGTCTATTCCCCGTACCCGGAAAAACTCTTCCCAGCTGACAGGAGCACTTCTATCACTCCACCTTAGTACCCTTTGGCAATCTTCAACCAAGTTCTCAAGGATTTTCACTTGGAACTGAGAGGGTGGCCCTAATTCAACCAGTCCCTCGCCATTGAGTGAATTCAACGACAATACAAGATTACGCAACAACGCAACGCACTGGGGGGATTCAGAGGGGAACATTTGACTC